GGGGGGGGGGGGGGGGGGACGGCAAAACCCGGATCCTGCGTCGCAGCCTTCGGACTTGAAGGTTTTCCAGATGGGTCACGGTGGCAAGGGTATGACTCCGAAGCCTTTTGAAGACCGCTTGCCACGCCAACACAATTTCGGCGTCTACAAGCTAAAGCTAACACGATCGGTCGGGACGCAACCGCGCAGTTGAGATTACAGCACCAGTGCCAGATAGATCACAGCAGAAAAAACACGTTCACTTCCCGCTCGATTTTGATTTTACCCTCACACACCGCGGAAGGCGCCCGGGTCAGTTGGGCAGGTACGGAAAATAGATGGTACGTACTCAGCACAAACCGGAATGGTTTTCAATGCGAAGGCAACAACAACAACAACAACTTACAACGTAGCAACGGACTTCCCAAAGTTAAAGTTGGTCCAACCGCACCAAGACAGCACCCCCGCCGAAGGCCACAAGAGTGGCCTGCTCCAACCAAACAAAATTGTTATCTTGGTCGGTCTAACATAATACTGCAGCATTACACACGTCACTCCAAAAGCTTGAGGACGTCGCCAGTCATGCTAGTTAGGCTACTGCTGTAGTTACCTTGTCCCACGTGGTGAAGGCGTGGTCGACGTCGGCCATGAAAGCGGCGAACTCGGGGTACGCCATGGACATGAGCCCCGTCCGCTTATTCACGTCTCCCCCCTAGTAATACAGGCGATGGCGATGTATCGTCACCACCATACAAGCCGATGGCGTCCATGTTCGCCACCGCACACAAACAGCACGAGTTGAAGCGAAACAAAACCGGGCTTGTCCATGTTCCAAACGTAATGTAGCAATCGCTCTAGACATGGTCTAGCCCACATCCCCCAAAGCAACAACACCAAGGCATGGCATACGGGCGTGCTGCATGTATGACTAGCCTTTTCGTCGTGTGCTGGCGAACTTTCGCAAAATCAAATAGAAAATTACCCTGCAGACTCGAGGTGCTAGGGTTGAACGGTATTGTGCGGTCAGCGTGACGAACTTGGGCTGGTCCCCGGACAAAGCTTTACATCTCACGGCAACTGTCCGCAGTCACATGACACGAACCAATAGTCTACTAATAGTCCCCGACCGCGAAAAGTACCAGACTTTTGGGACGACCCAAACATGCACGAAGCGATGGGTTCAGCAACAAGACGCAGCGTCCATCACGTTTCCCACCGGCGAAAGGCATCCGACTACAAAAGCGGCGACGAATGGGTGTCACTCGGCGGGCCCACAGTACTACTGTAGCACTGTCGCACTACGGACACCACCAACTACTCCGTATGCTGCATCATCTTCGGCACCCGCCAACTACAGGGCTTGCTTTGACGCACAAAAAAAAAATGACGAGATCGAACCACGTGTATGTATGCTCCGAACCTCACCGTATCTCCGAGACAAAGCGATAGCTGCTGAGCAAACGCGCGATTGACGCTCTCCATCAGCTGGGCAGCTCGCCCGGGCTTGTAGCGCTGCGTCGCAACGATCATCAAAGCCAAACAGATTTTGTCCCACAACCGAACGAGGCGCAGTGAATGCCACATTGCACAATATAAAACGAACAACAATACCGACCGGAGAGCAGCCAGGTGCCGCGAAGCGTAAGGAAGGCGGGACTGCAGATTTACCTACCATGGTACATTGGTGCTGGCCAAGTCTGTTACCTCGCCGGCTGGGGATCCGGCGCCTGCCTCCCAGCAGCTGCCGCCGGAGTCAGCCCTCCCACCACCACCGATGTTGCACATGCAACGGTGTTTCTCTTTAACGAGAAGCTAGAAGATCTTCGGTGAAAATGTTCTAACATCTCGTTGGAAAGAACCACCGTGGTATCAGCCAAGATCGGCGGTGGTGGGAGGGTCGACCACGGCAGCGGCTGCTAGGAGGCAGGCGCCGGATCCCAAGTCGGCGAGGACAGCGCCCGCCGCTGCCTAGCCCGGGGGGGTTGCAGCAGGTGGGCTGGACGCGGGAATCTACGAAGACGCGTGCTAGGCATCTACATCCCTCTCCAGGTTTCCTGTTCTGTACGTCCTTTCGAGCGGTGTTTTCTTGTCGAAGACACAAGTGCCAAAGGGGGCATATATTTCAAGTACCCTGGGGGGGTAGTGTTCCGTGCTGGAACTGGATGCATCTGATTGGCTCCCAACTATACCTACTTTCGTGACAATTTGGGCTCCTGTTTCTTCACGAAATATTTACTAGCGGCGTGCCCATTCTCCAGTGTTTACAGCGCACGTGAAGCATTCCATGGGACCCCTACGCACCGGGGTGAGCTTGAGCTTCTGCTGGAAGTGGCCGAAGATGGGCGGCAAAGCGGAAGCCACGTCTGTGGGAGACTGGCTCGAGAGAAGAGGCTCGAGGGGGAAGGTCCTGAGGAAACCGTTCGCGTCGGCCGATACGTCCATCGCGTCCCTCAAACCAGTGTCTGCGGACGACGGACCGTTGCACGGGGGGGAAGCGGCACGATCTTCGTCACGACAAAAACTAGCCTATGTATCACCGTGCGTGATTAGTGGCCATGCCTGTTGTCTGACAGCTCGATAGTGCATGCCTTCGTGCGTGTGAAATGGTAAATGGTCAGCCTGATGGAAGGAGGGGTGCCATCGGTACAACAGTGGCCGAGAAGATGTTGGTATACAAAAGCACCAGCACGTCGCGTACCTATCCTCCAACCTATCATATCAGCCTAGCAGACTCGTTCCTTTCGTCCCGAGTTGTGTTACACGTACGCTTTTGTGAGTACTGTAGATACCACCCCACGGCGAAACCCCCTACAGCAGCCAAACGTAGACACAGGGTAAGACAAATTTGGCGTCGCAAGCCGTGTCCGAGCCTCGCTCGAGTCTAAGCGGTCGTCTGCTTGCACTACATTTCACCGACACAAGGGACTGCTGCCGCCGGCCCTTACACTGAAGAACCACACATATTAGATGCAGAGCATTCAAAGAGAAAAAACAAGGCCCAGGGAGGAAGGCGGTGATTGGTCACATATACTTGTTGTTGTTGTCTTCACATTCAAAACCGCTCCGATCTCTCTCTACCCAGTACCTTCGTATGTCCGTACTGATCCAACACTCGACGCGGTCGATTCCCGTGGTCGCAGGCTAACTTACCCTAAAAAGGTAAACTCAAATAAACTGGGACTGAGGGGTCCGCAAGTCAAAATAAATTAACGACAGATTTTCTGGAGTCCTCCACTCCCTCTGCGAGCTATGCGAGGTAACAACTGAGACTAGGAATCACCATCACGGGCCGGAGAGAATGAGGTACACCCCCTTGATTCAATCTTGGTACTTCACAACGCAAGCAGAGACAAGGCCATCTGGCGCAGAAAAGGAGAGAAAAAAAAAATCAGAGAAAAAGAGAAGAAAATAAAAGGAAACAGCAAGGAAAGAGAAAATGAAATGAAAAAGAGCGAGGGCAAAAAGGGACCAGGCCGAATATGACAAGAAATAAGAAATACAAAAAGGCACACGGTGGAGAGACCAATAACGAGCAAGCAAACACGCAAACATGGCCACCAACCAGCGATACATNGGAGAGAAAAAAAAAATCAGAGAAAAAGAGAAGAAAATAAAAGGAAACAGCAAGGAAAGAGAAAATGAAATGAAAAAGAGCGAGGGCAAAAAGGGACCAGGCCGAATATGACAAGAAATAAGAAATACAAAAAGGCACACGGTGGAGAGACCAATAACGAGCAAGCAAACACGCAAACATGGCCACCAACCAGCGATACATCGGGGTGGTACGTCGTCACTAGTGGGGGGTTGGTGCAATAGTGCAGCGTTGGGGGGGGGGGAATCAGCTAAAAGAAATTCAATCCGGCACGTATCCCGCCACTCGGCCCGTCTCTTCTCGTTTGCTTGCTTCCCTCGCCGTCTCGTCCGTCTCCTGCGCCCCTCCCGCCCCATTTGTTACTGACCCTAATTGCACGTCAAATAGTAGAGAAAAACAACAAGGCCAAGGAGGGAAGGCGGTGATTGATATATACATATATCTAGTAACTCACCTGTGTCTAAGGCCATCACCGCCACGAACCGCTTTCCCTGGTTGAGCACGGCACGAGTCACCTCCACCCGAGCAGAGCTACTATAACAAAACACAGGAGCAACCGACAAATAATGGGAGTACCGTGCAGTACGAACGAGGGAATGGGGGTGTTCAGCGGTGAGGGGCTGTGGACTGCTCAACGACCCAAGCTTCCATCAGCAAAGTCGTTCGAACACGAGACAATCCTAACTCTGCCCAGATTCCTCTCATAACGTGCCCCAAGTTCTTGCAGTCAGTGGGAATAAATTACCACAGGAAAACAACAATATCATATCGTATCGTAGCGCTCCCACGTCCCCGTTGATGAATCACACACCAAGAGTCATGCTTCACCACCTCACCCCTTACACACCAAGCCGCCCGTTACACTACCGCCACACGTAAATCCAACCCTTACCCTCGTGTCACTGGTGGCGCGCGAGACGTTTGAGCACTGGGCCTGGTATTGAAAGAGAGCATGTCGGCACTCCCTCAAAGGATGCCGTAAAATCGACCAGTCGAAGTTGACGCCAGCCCGATCCCCACTATCCTACCTGAGCTCCGTGTTGGTCATCTCGAGGGCCTCTCCGATGGAACTCCAGAAGTGAATCTCCTCCGCAGCGCTCTCGGGGAAGGAGCGATTTGTGAGGTTCGTCAGCTTCTGGATGTCCTTGACCCACACGTGCACTCCCGCCTTCACACGAAAGCAACGCGATGCGAAGAGACGCCAAGAGATGGAAACAACGTAAACAAGAGCGGTGAGAGACACAAGGGGCGTGATCCGCAAGGCCAAATGGCCCAACGTTGGCGTGTGCGTATCACGTGCGCTTCAGCTAACACTGGCCAGGGCTGAATGCTGCTTGGGAGTAGTACCAAGCGTCAACGGACGCCACTAGATTACACCAGCCTAAGGACTGACTTGCTCGCCTTAGGCGTCGGGCGCTGGATCGCGCAAGCCGCACGTTCCGGGCCATTGGTCGCCGGGCACCTTCGCTAACGTTCAAGCGAACCACATGCCGGCAAGTTCCCTAACCCGCACCCCGCCGCCTATGCTCTACGCATCACCGGCCCTCGGTATTCGGCAGGCAAGGCGGCCCAACCTTCGCCTCGCAACATCACTGGAAGCATCGCCACTTACCACTGCTGCGGCCGCCACGCCAGCCACCATACACGCGGTAAAACACGTACATCCCTACCGCAACGCATATCCCAAGACATATCGACTGGCAGAGCAACACGAACGATGACAGGGTGATCAAAACTTCTCCTTGCACGGCAACAAAGGAGGCACCGGGGATTTACTCCCAAACCTGACCGCTGCGCCGTACCTGGACTTGGTTCAAGAAGGCGTCTTCCTGAACACGCTTCCCCAGGCCCACAGCGTCCAGGTCCACCTGTCCCCCCTTGCCGACCTTGCTGCTAGCTGCTTCTACCTCCGGGTGTGCCGTGAGGGCCACTGTGGGAATCTCCAACCGCTTCTGGCAGCGGTCTAGCGCTTGCTCGAGTTCCGTGATTCGTCGCTGAAGGACCGATACCCCGGAGTCCAGCTGTACGCAGGAACATCAGCAGGAGCAGCGTGAAACATCATTCCTCATGGGACGTCTTTCATTAGAAAATGGTCACGAGGACACCTCATATCACGCCCGACTTTCCAAAGCAACGTATGGGACAAGAAGGAAACCAAGCACCGGATGTTACGATACATCGACTCCAATGAAGATAAAGAGCACCACGCTCAATTATCTTTGTCCACACATTCAACACTCCAGTTTTGCAGACAGAAACATGGAGTTGCCACCAACTGGGCAGCACTCCACAAAACCCAACGTGATCACGAGCGCACGTATCGGATCAAGACTCCCTGGCGAAAAAATACACCCCGAATCATTGCAAGCATTGAGAGAATATCGTCCTCCAGGCGCTCTCCATCTGTCTCTCTCGCTCACTTTGTCATCCCCACCCCTAGCAGCCGCGTACGCCCGGACGGTGGGCGCGAAGACATGAGTGGCGTAGGCCTGAAGCACCGAGAACACCGACCCACTCGGCGGCATCCCTTCCTCTGCTTTGCCACCACCGCCGCCGCCGCCCTTCGGCCCTGAGACTTCCGCCTGGGCGTCGCTGCCCGGGAAGGACATCAACTGCGCCACGGCCCCCAAGTCACCCCAGAGATGGATGCGTTTCGGGGAGTGTTGAAGGTCACCATCGCCGTCAGTAACGGATGCGAGATATAGATTGCATACACGTGAACGCTCTAAACACCAAAAAGAGGGAATTCACTCGAACTTAATCCACGCTCGGAGCCCATAATTCGATTTTGCAAGCGTCTGGCTTCAGACCCACATGCCCATTGCAGAGCCTGAAACATTTACGCAACCGGTTGAGGTGCCCCCACCACATGTGTGCCAATGGACAATTTCGGAACAAAACAAAAGGGGCGTGTCCACGCTCAAGATGGTGGGTCACTTTCTACTAGGGACAACACGCAACTATTATATAGTTCGTGTAGACAGACAACTCGTGGTGCACCAGAGAGGGAGAGCTCGCTGACACAACCCGTGGACACGATGCTGAAGGGTGCGCAGCACAAGGGCATGTTGGCCATGAGGAAATCTGGGCAGACTTGCCCCCGGGGGGCGTTCGTCACACACCACGTGAAATCGCATGCATATACCCCTGGGGCCAACTCCCCTCTCGTTAACTTGCATGCCCTACATAGCCCGGGGCGCCAATGCACACCTTTCGCCACACCCTCGTCTACTTCTTCTTAGGGGAGGGCGAGAAGAAGCTCCTCATTGACAAGGCCAACTCTGCGTAGATTACTACTTCGATATCATTCGACGCACAAGCATCCAAATATCAACCGCGTGTGTGATCTTTCAGCAGGCGTACCTGAAGCTGTGCCTGGAGAGGGCGCCTCGTCGTCGGCTCCAGCCCTCCGGGATGCCTCTTGATAACCGCCAACCCAGGCGCATCCTCCACATGTCGCGTGTCCAGCCCGAACCAGAACCCGCCCACAGCGGCGCTGCGCGTGCGCTCGTCGCCCCCCCCTCCGACTGTCCCACGGGAGCCCCCGCCCTCGGCCCCGCTTACGCCGCCGGCGGCTGCGACGGCTGCGGCAGAGGCCGCGGCATCCTCCACCTCGACGAACAGCGCCGACGGCTGAACGTTCGATGCAAACCTTTGGTTCCGATTGTTGTTTGAGGCGAGCAGCGGTGCACGCGCGATGAACGGGGGGGCTGCTCATGTTGCGTCAGCGGTTTGACAATTTGCCACGCGTCCTCAAGGGGACGGAACATTGGTCCCACACGACCGACGGCCAATCGTTCCTTCCTACCGCGCCAAAGGTGGCTCAAACAAGATTTGATCTACTGTATCCGATCCATGTCACTTCCCGCCTTTTCAGCCGAGTTCCTACGCCGCAGCATAGCTCCTGCTGTTCTGGCTGTTCTATTCCATGCCTCAAACATAGCTCTGTATCTTCCTGCTATTTTCCCCAGCTCAGTCAAGCACACTTATTTCTCGTTTTCCTTAATCGGACATTCTGCAACTGCATGAACCCGGTCTTCGCACTCGGAGCCGCATTCACACTTGAATTAGTCGTCGTCTTCGTGTATCTTTGTCTGCAGTACATTCTCGAAGGCGAACGTACCCAGTCCAAAACTTGACCTTCAGCCTTATCCCTGCATCCATTGGTCGCATGTAGGCTCCTTAAACCCTGTGCCTTATTTCAACGTTCGGTACACATCTGTACCCTCCTTTTCCTTCGTTTCTTTCGTTGGATTCTGTTCTCTCGGGAAAAACAACAGATGTATATCTTCTTGAAGCCCTCTAGGCCTCCTGTGTCACTGCATCAAGTTCGTCAATTTCGAACTCCTTCCAAACCGCATCTACAGTTCAACCTTGGCCAACTCAGGCGTGGAGCTAGGAATGAGAACGGCTACACTGGAACCTCGGCAATTGCAAAACGATTACTGCCGTAGACATCAAAAGGTGCAGAGTTGGATCACTGCTGTTGATGCGGACAGCAGTGCCTGTGCAAGGAACATGAGTCAACCTCGTTGCACCGTCAGGATATATCATGGGCCGGCCCTCTTGTGGACACCGCAACGCATTGTCTTTCTGCCTTTTGGCCACCAAACAGAGAGCTTTAGAAAAGAACGCAATGAGCACCAGTACGGAGCACGCACGACAGCATTGGAGGAGAAGGACACACGCGACACTTACGTGCTGAGCAGCGCGCACGCATCTGGTGCTTCCAAGGCCTTGCCGAAAGCCTGCGCGCTAAGGTCCCCCTCCCCCTCCAGTCCTAAGACCGCGGGACATAACGAAGCGAGGTAGGCCTGCAGTTCTGCCAGTTCGGCCCTGAGGTCTTCCCCCTGAACCAGCTCCTCGGCCGCCATCGGCTGGAGCACTCTGCTCATCGCACAAAGGCGATGCATGGTACAGCAGCAGCAGCAGCAGCGGCACAGCAGTACTTACGATCGAACTCGTTACAGCAGCCAATTGTGCTCTTGGCTGAGTTACATACAGATTACATGTGGTATTAGACGTGCAGCACAACGTGTACCGCGGTGCAGCGTGTGGTGCAACAGTAGCGCGTGTGTGTCAACGTGATGGGGACCAGAATAGTCTACATTGCTGCAGTGCTTTGCTGGTTGTCTGGTCGGCGCTACCTCTAGCGGCTGCAAGCGTGGACGCTTGTGCGCAAAGAACAAAATAACGGTGATTCAAAAACCCTGTACAGACGCTGGTATGGAGTTTGTTTGTTCTCACGGAAAAGCGGGGTGCAAAGCCATCACCTTTACGGATCCTGCAATGCAAAAACACGAGCGAGAAGCAACCGCTGAACCCGTCCTCCTTAGCGCCAGCCGGCGTCTGCCCTCCCCGCTGCTGTGCTCGGTGGTGTGCTGCTGTTGGGGCGTTCCGCGTGATTTGTCAAGGGGGCACGCCAACATGACTCTGCACCCTACGGAACCCCTGGGCGTTGAATTCAATTCCCCGCGGCGAAAACCAAAGACTATGACATATAATAACCTTTGGCGAAAACACCGGAGAGACCTTACCCTGTCTGCTGTGTCTGCCGCAGGGCAACAAAGGGCGGTGCTCGGTGTTGATGGCGTCAAGTCGAGAGGATCTTTTGTGCCAACTTCGCGAGTTGGCGGGATGTTCGACCTTGGTAAGTAACAGAGAGAAAAACAGTACCAGTACCGTAAATGACACAAGATAACACACCCCCTGGGTCGATTTTTCAATTCTCGATTTCTCAACACCAGAAAGAGTCACGGCGCCGAAAACGGCGGCGGTGGAACCGTCTCGTCGAGAGCTTTCCAAAATGTATCGTTTCGTTTGTGCATCCTCTTCGTCGTGGAGTAATCGAGCATTGAAAATTGGTCCAGGGGGTGCGTTATCTCGTGTCATATTCGGTATACCAGTAGTCTCTTGATAGCCATCTCCCAAAAATAAAAAAAATCATTTGCTGTGAGAAGAACAGCGACGTGTGCACAATGCTTCACACCTTGTAGCAATCCATCTCTTGTTTGGCACAAGATGTTGTTCTTTGGATTGACATTATCACTAGAGCTCTGCACTGGATGACCCCTGACTCGCACGCGTCGAGTCTTTTTCTCGACCGGCTTTGTTTGGTACACGACGTCCGTCTCTCTCTCTATCTCTCCTCTAATCATTCTTTCAGAGTGCGGCTGATCTTGGGGAGCTAAGTTGGCGCACGAAGCAGCGCGTGATTCTCGGCCTTCTGGCGGAGGTAAGTATGTAGGCGTTATGGTACGCAACTGAGCGCGGATGAACGCGTTCGGTGCTTCTCATGAACACGTGGTTTCCTATGTGTGCGTAGTCAATCGCTCGCGGGTTGTGTGCTGTACAAGCGAACACGAGAGGATCCGTGGACTAAAATAGGCGTGGTATCCAGGGCAGAGGTCATGTTCTTTGCATACTGTAATACCCGTTAATAGTCCCCCAGGTTGAGCTTTTGGAGGTGTGAAATAAGGCAGTGGCAGAGGACACTCGATGGAACTTGCAGAAGACCGGGCTTTGTGTCTTGAAGTAAAAGACTGTCCTTCGTCAGCGCTGACGAACAGTCCAATGAACTATTATACTCCGTATATAATAGCTAGATCGGGAGGTGGAATAGTTGTTTGTGGTTGCGAAAAAGTACCAGCAGTAGGCTTGTGCGTTGCTACCATTGGCCCGTTTGCTGCACAGCAAGAGCATTCAACTGATTGAGGTGTGGGGGGCGCCAGTCAATGTGATGACAATTGGTCGAAAAACAAAATGTCTCGGACGAAAAAAGACACCTCCACACGGACTTGAACCCATGACTTCGGGAGTAAGGACCTATTCATCATCATCAGCTAGAGAGGGGGTGTGGTGTTCATCATACAAGGTGGAGAGAGGGGGCGGTATTCAGTATTAGTGTAATAGCTCAAAAACAAACATACTCTTTGTTGTCTCTGCTCAAAAGCGTGTGATGGGTAATAACTAGATAGACTAGCGGCGTAGCAGTACATATATATCACACCACCGATGGTGGTGCGTACAATAACAGCAGTGTGTTGTTGGTGTCATGAAAGAGAGCGAGAGAGAGAGAGAGAGAGAGAGAGAGAGAAAGACCGCTGCTGCTGCTGCTGCTGCTGGAACCAAATCAAATGCTAATCTCTCCTCTCGCTTTCTCCGCCCTGCTTCTCCGTCGACTCGCCCACGCTGTGGCGTGTGTCTCCCTCTCCCCCTTTTTCCATGTCTGGTTCCGTGTGTGTAGCGTGTCTTGCGTGTACAAGGCCATCTATGCATAGCACACAGACAGCCGCAGTGTTGAGTTGCGGGGCCGTCATTATCATCATGAATGAACGCGGCCCGCACACTCCGCACGGATACGTGACGCGGCCCACATACTGTTATTGTTTCTCACCTTGGCTCTATAGTCCACAAACAATGGGGAGCCCGTGGTCTCAAAACCCGGCACATACGACGCCGCGTGGAAACAGAACAAAAATAGGGTACAAACCACTCGGAAAAAGAAAACAAAATGATAGAAAGAAAAGAACAGCTACCGCACCGACCGTTCGAGAAAAGAGCCCTCGGAAACCGATCAGAAAAAAATTAATCAAAAACAAAGATAAAGGAGGATGCTTCCCACACCCGCCCAAAGAAAAAATCAAAGGGTAACGTATCAGCACCAGGCACTACGCACCAGGGCATTGGAGTAACGGAGCAAACAGGACAAAGAGGCGGCAGATGGGCAGACAACCAGATGTACTAAAACAAAAGCAACAGCAAAAGCGAGATCAAGGTACCCAACACAGCAGAGTAGGCAGGGAGGACATGAAAAAAAGAAACACAGCACAGAGGCCGAAGGCAATACAAAGGACATTCATAAAGGAGTATAGCATACAGCAGGGAGGGAAACAGGGCGCAACAACATCAGCCGGGCACATTGTTCGCCACAAGTGCTGTCTCGGCCGCCCTACTCGCTTCTACAGCAGTGCCCGGTCGCCGTTTCTTCCCCCCCACCGCCGCTTCCCCGGCTCTCTTTCTCTTCGGTCCTGAGATGGCCGTACTCTCTGCTCTGCATCCCTCGCGCGCTGGCGCTTCGCGGACGCTTCAGCCTCCTGCCTGTGCCATTTCCTCATGAGCCATGCCGCCCCGTCCTCGACCTTGTTGTACCACACCCCCGGGTCCTTGGCGCTCTCTTCCCGTTTACCCCCTTCCTTTTCGTCTCCCATGTTGAAGGCCACGAGGTCCTCTCCTAGACGAGACACCCAGTCGCTCTCCTGCCCGCCCCGGTATCC